TGGATAAGCATCCTTGATCTCAAGGGGCAAGTTGACATCATCTACATTGACTTCCCAAAAGCTTTTGATGGTATCAACCACATACGTCTTATAAATAAACTCAAAAGATTGGGTAACAGACCACTTCTAATTGGCTGGCTCATTTCATATCTAAAATATCGACATTTTATGGTCAGGAATAACTTCACTTTATCTTAGACTATGGAAGGTCCCGGTGGGGTCCCCAATGTTCAGTAGTATTACCCCTTCTTTTCTCGATTTATATAGACCAACTTCCACAACAGGTATCGTCAGGTTTATTGCGTTTTGCTGATGATATGAAACCTTGGAGAGATATACGCAACTAAGAGGATAAACTGCCACTTCAAGAGAACCTGACTCGACTTCAGAGTTGCGCAGATGACAACGGACTTGCCTTTAGCGCTTCAAAGTGTAAAGCAGTCCATATGCAACATGTTGCAGTCTACAGTTACGACTTCAGAAACTCCTCTCCAGTAGTATCCCGAGTGGAAAAAGATTTAGGAGTTCTGGAACCCTAAGATTAGAAGTCTTAAGTTAACTGTAACAAAAATGCCTTTCAAGCAAACCGTGCACTGTTAACATTGAAGTGCATTTTTGGCCAGCTTGACGGAAGAACTTTCCATATAATCTTCAACAGTTTGATTCGTCCTCATTTAGAGTACGGATACATATTATTTTCTCCTTCACTTCAAGAGGATTAAGACACTCTGGAACGTATCCAACGATGAGCCACGAGATCAGTTCGAGGACTCAAATTCAAACCTTATGAAGAGCGCCTCCAATCACTTAACCCTTACCCATTAGAGTATAGGCGTCTTAGTGGTGACCTTCTGATGGTTTACAGTATCCTTAGTCCCAATACAAACCTAAGGGGTAATACTCAGGAATTGGAGACACAACATAGCTGAATGGACTGTAGACACAACTTCTACTCCTCAAGAGTTGTCAAATGCTGGAATTCACTACCGACTGAACTAGTCCAAGCAACTTTGCGGGAGTCCTTTAAAAGGAAACTTGACCAATTGTTATGGACTGAAGGCAACATTTTATTATGATTTACCATTTTCTTCCTTCCTTTATTATCGCTAATATACCTAGAATCCTGCACTGGACTTATGTTCACTTCACCCGACATTGTTTTAATTCCAACATCCTCTATATTCCAAACAACCAGTCGATTCCTTTGCATGGTGATGGCTGTTCTTCAAACAACCCTGCTTCACTAGAACCAGAGTAATAATTTATGGTCGAAAAATATTAACGCACAGTTAACTGTCAAGATCACAGAAGTTAGTGAAGTCGAACGGTTAGCCTGCTCACAGTGCATGATAAAAAACATGAAACTATGGCTTACGTCAAGAAAAATGTGCAAATAGATCAACTTGTTTGCACTAGCTATCAAAAATGAAGACTAAAGCAATCATAGGTTTTTCATAATTGATGGACAGGCTTCAGTTTATGTGTGGACAACTGGAGGGATTACAGTGAGAGTACACCAAATCCGTTCAATACAACGTTATTACATGAAGAAATCCAGTGAGAACCTAACCACTTATCCGGTTTTGCATCGGATCGTCTCAGCCAACAGTCTAAAATTCACGCACATAACCAGTATATTATACGGAATTGCGATCCATTGTTTCACCAAGTACGTATTTACTGTAGGAATCAACAGAACAACATTTTATGAATGTCAGGAAAAACAAATAATGATTGTTCGTAGCCGACTGCATAGTGACCCACTTTTGTGAAGAGAATGCGATTGGTATAATGGAAGCAGTTATTATTATAACCAATTGTCCTAGTGATTGTTTTACTGTACTTGCTTGTTTAAGTGTATCAGAAAAGACAATTCCGTTGTTTGTGACCTTACACGAACTCTCGTACTCTCAGCAGTCTTACCTGTGGATTTTGGCACGATCTCGGTATTATTTTGATGTCACGAGATTGCCAACAAATACATCATACTACAACCTTCAACTGCCTTCTGATATTTGGCATGCGGAGGTGTCAAACCTGGTAACTGGCACGTAGTCTTCCTGCAGTGAGGATCATAGTCGACAGCGACTCGACGCCTACCTTATCTGATGGTTGACAATTGTGAACACGCTCAAACCACCGAAAAACCTTCCGAAGAATACAGTGACGGTGAGCCTATTACTTATCTATCCACGTCTGTTGCACATTGCACAAAGGCTCCAGTATCTCGAAGGAACAAATGGCATATAAACCAATCGTTGGTCACCGGCTACCATGGGACTACATCTCCTTACGTTGCTCAGCTGCCTTGTGGACAGAATTTCGTCACGTTAAAAGCGAGTCGAGCTATTTTGCTGATGCCGTCACGTAGCCAAGTGAATGCAGTTAATTCACCGGTGCTTGATCTCTCTGCCATGGCTGTCGCCCAAGCAAGCGATCCCTCCTGCACGGAAGCACAACATTCTACATCCCTTCACTGCCGAGAAGTACCCTTAGCTACTAACTCAAATACTATCCTGTGTGATACTTCCACTGGTCTTCCCCGACCCACCGTACCCTCTGCTTACCGTTTTCTTGCCTGCAATGCTCTGCATGGACTGTCTCATCCAGGTATCGCAGCTACATTACGCCTCATCGCTGCACAATACGTCTGGCCGTCCATGAATAAAGATGTCCGTATGTCGGTAAAGCAATGCTTACAATGTCAACCATCAAAAGTGCTCAGGCACGTAGCTGCGTTCGCTACGCCTGATGCTCGCTTCGATCACGTCCATACAGACATTGTGGGACCACTGCCACCATCGCACGGGTATGATCACGTGCACCAATCGTTTCACAAGATGGCCCGAAGCTATCCCTATCACGTCTATTACAGCAGAGAGAGTTGCTTACCGCTTCATAGAACGAGTCCGAATAATTCTCCTCGTTGACACGGCTGCTCGGTATGGAACGCATACGTACTACCGCCTACCACCCAGCATCAAGTGGTCTAGTTGAACGGTTTCAACGCCAACTTAAAAGTTTTCTTCGAGCGCACGAAAACATCAATTGGTACGGAACCTTACCACTCGCCGTCTTAGACATTAGAACGAGCTTAAGGCTAGATACTGAATGTTCCGCCGCTGAACTTGTATACGGCACCTTTCGTCTGCAAAGGGAATTTTTCAAAGCACGGAGCAGTAACGATTCCGGTAAATCAGATTACGTCCAACGACTTTCTAAATTTATGCGAACACTGCCTCCGGTGTCAACTCGAATACAACATCGACAGGACGATCTCCCTCGAGAGTTATCTACTTGTTCACATGTTTTCATACGAGTACAATCGGTACGCAAACCTTCGCAACAGCCTTACGAAGGACCTTTTCACATGATTTTTCGTCACGAGAAGACCCTCAAGGCTGATTGACATGGCCGCATCGAGGTCGTCAGCATTGACCATCTCAAGCACGCACACGTCGATCACAGTACCATACCTGACAAGTTGAGACTCAAAGCTAGACCCATCAAACCTACTAGCGGGATTCGCACCTCACTCCTACGACCCAGTCAAGAGCACGCGCCACCTGCAGCATCTACAGACGAGACCTCAGTTTCACGTTCTGGTCGCCGAGCGCGCCTAACCTCTAAATCAATAACAGATACGGTTTAGGAATCTAGCCCTATACCACACCTTTTCTCTTTTTTGATTTTTTATCCTGGACCCACGCCTCCGACCGTCGCCCTGTTGTTACCGTCAAATCCAGCCAATTTCGGCGAAAGCCGGCCTTACCAACGACGCTCTTGTCATCGCTTTCAGTCGATATTCTGGTTTCGAATCTGTCTGGCATATGTTTGGTCTCGCAATTGGTCATTATGGCCGCTCCTGGTTCCATCCTACGTCTGCAGCCCTCAGATTCTGGACACAAACACCTCTGGTGTGGTACGTCAACTGGAGCAACAAATATAGCATGTTACTCCTGATACTGTCCTACATAAAAAATCTTCGGAGACAACCCGAGGATCGGCGATCGCTCTCTGTTTGTCAAGCACTTCATCCTACAATCTTACGCTTGCCGATCAGTCCCACAAACGGAATAGCTACGTGTCGAAAGTGAAAACCCTTTCTAGCGGGAGGCTCCTGTAGTGACCTACTTTATTGAATAGAACGCGATTGGCATAATGGAAACAATTACTATTATAATCAATTGTTCCAGTGATTGTTTTACTGTACTTGTCTGTTTGTGTACCAGAAAAGACTCGTAGTCGTCGAGTCACTGTCGACTATGATCCTCACTGCAGGAAGACTACGTGCCAGTTACCAGGTTTGACACCTCCGCATGCCAAATATCAGAAGGCAGTTGAAGGTTGTAGTATGATGTATTTGTTGGCAATCTCGTGACATCAAAATAATACCGAGATCGTGCCAAAATCCACAGGTAAGACTGCTGAGAGTACGAGAGTTCGTGTAAGGTCACAAACAACGGAATTGTCTTTTCTGATACACTTAAACAAGCAAGTACAGTAAAACAATCACTAGGACAATTGGTTATAATAATAATTGCTTCCATTATACCAATCGCATTCTCTTCACAAAAGTGGGTCACTACAAGTTATTGACAGAGTTTTAAGAAAACTCCAAATTACCCTCCCCAAACAATATAAACGAAAATTTTAACATGAGCAACTATGTTGAACAAAATATCCAGTTATAACTAAGTAACTTTCTCACAGAATTACAGTGCATCTATCAAGTAATCAAATCTTCCATGTAAAAGAATATCTTGTTGCCTCACATTGTCTAAATTCATATCCTTAAGCAAAACACTACCGATTAATAGCGAGGGAATAATAGATGCCTAGCGAATGATTGTGAGCATGCCCAAACTTCCTTTGTCACTTACATCATATACGTCAAAAGTATGTTGTTAATAGATCCAACCAAACGAATTTTATAACTTTTGCCTTCGTGTCTTTTACATAGTATCGATTTTGTATCACCTGATAAAACAAAGTGTTTTCTGATTGGTAAATAACATCCTGTTTACTAGGAATTACAAACAAACACTTAGTTGTTCTTTGTGTGCACCATTTCGACCACGAACATTACCAAATCGTAAAGAATACAAACTGATTATTTGTTAAACACAAAAATTATCCCATCAAGCAAGGAACAATGTTCTATCTAAAGGAAAGGGATAGAGAAACTCCGTTTGCCCAAAAGTTAACATTCAAACTATAAGATAAAATTAAATAAGAATTTAAGAATCGTACAACTAATTGCTTGCTAACAATGATAAACATTCCCAACAAGCAGGGAGTATATTGCTTTCCCAGTGCGATAAAATGAAAGCAACCGATTAACACAAAAATTATCAGTATGACAGTCGCTAAAACGAAATGCTAACAAAAAATTGGAACAGTTATTGAAAACCCAACAACATCAGTGAATTAACCAATCCCAGAATCTGCAAACAATGTGGTAAAATGACTGCCAATGGTTAGTATTTCAACAAACCTATAACAATGGAGCATTTGGATGTTAACAAAGGTTGTTATTAAAACATAAGAGCCAATTATAATCATAGTTGGTTAGTTGTATGTATCGATTGAGCTAGCGTTCCTAATCTGAATACTAATCGACACCGTGATAAGACAGTTCATGTTAACAACAGTCAGTGAACCAATCAAATCATGGATTAAAATGAATAAAATTTATCAGGGGAAATTACAGAAAATGTGACTATTAATAACTGGTTGGGTGATTCCTAGTTGGCCTCACCAATGTAGAATTTCACTCTAAAATCGATGTTAAATCCAAAGTGATGTAGTTTGAATTCTGCGAAAACCGTAGCGAAACGTAAGATACTTGTTCTTTCAAAGTTTGGGGAAATTGTTCTCGAATACCGATCATTTGAACACAAATCACTACATCGTGATTTCTATCGGAGATATTATTTCAGGCATCTGAAATTATCCATATCTGTCTGCTTTTAGAGCATTCCAACACAAATACTGCAAAAGTTCGAAGTTAACTGTTACTCGCGGCGCTTACCAACTTAACGAATAACAAACACTGGATGTTGAGAAACGGATAGTTACCAATCACAATGTTTGCTTGACATTGTTTACGAGTATGGGTCGTTTTGTTAAAAAAAAAGACAGAATTCAACTATAGCGACCAATCAAAGTATAAACGTTTTCCAACCAATTATGAATCTCTAGTTGGGAAACAGTAATATTGAGTAATTTTATACTAATCTCCAATAGAAGGACTAAAATACTATTGTTCACAATTATACAAGGGTATATAAATACTATAACTACGACTGTAGTTACTGCCGGTCCCAAGCCGGGATAGACGAGGGTTCAGCAACTCAACCCAGTAGAAAACAGCCTTCATAAAGAGCGCTAACCAGAAAGAAACAATTATTCTGGTCAGCGGACTAAGCTCCTCCGCGAGGGGTAACAGGTGTAAGTATGTTCACTACAAGTCAACATATATAAGCCATGATATTCAGTAAAGAGAAACAATCCAATCTATTTTACGCACGATAGTAAAAAGATGAAAAATTTACAGCTAATTTATATCTGCTACCATATAATGTAAATGAATGACCGGGAAAGATAGTCTAAAAGTTAGTAGTTTAGTTGTTATTGCTTTTTCAGTATCTTAAATATTTACGCTAGTCATTTGTTTCGACAATGGTGTATGAGACAAAAACCAACTTGACAAATGTTTTCTATAGTCAGAAAAACGACATAATGAAATTGGAAACATTTTAACCAATAGTCTGTAAAAGAGTATGATAGGAAGAAGAACCTTGAACTTATAGCCCTACGATTAAAAGTCAAACGCCCAAATGATAATTTAATATATGTAGCTATAATGTTAGAAAAAAACAGCAATATAGTAATTAAAAGGAATAAGGCATTACAATAAACAGAAGTAGAAAATAATATCGATAGCAATGGTAAGATTGGCATCCAAATGCTGTATATCGTAATTATAGCGTTGGTAGAGGGAGAAAACGTTTGATAGTTTAATCTACATCGTTCATTATATACAAAACTGTCTACAAAAAATGAAAAAAGAATCTAAGTATCATAAGAAATAGTAAACTTCTATGTATATGTCGAAGAATTCGGTTTAACAGGTGTTTAACTAGAAAATATCGACATACTTTTTGGATCGATCCAAGAAAACCCTTGACTTACAAATTTTTCCTCATCGTCATTGGAATCTTTGAATTTCTATTTTCAGTTTAAAGAAAATAAAGTGATAGCATTTAAGAAACATAAACAACTTATAAAATAAAATACAATGTTTACAAAAAACCCTAGTAACAAGAAATTATTTTTATGTTATATGACAAGAAGTAGTCTTCAGGAAGCCATGAACTAAACAAAGAAAATAGTGGTGAATATGCACAGTGATGTATTACTATAAAATTTAATTTATTAACTGTGCAGGGAGGACGGACTTCTAAATAGCTGACATCTGTTTATAGTACTAGACAGTATCGGAGGATAGTTGCTAAAAATGTTATAAATATTTGTTGCTTCTTAACAATTTTTTAGAAATCTTTCCTGCATTAACTACATGATTTTTTTATAGTTAGTCTGTCTTGCACATTAGTAATCCCATTTTATTAACTAGGCTTTACTCATTTTATTCCTAACAGCGTTCACTCATCGTGTAATCACTTGTTTCTGGCTCTTTGAACTCATGTTACAATCAGCGTTGTAGAATGTTGTTTTACATATATATTTACAATATTTACTCCACATCTATTTACACACTTCTTATACTATACTGACGTGTCTTCAAGATAACTTCCAACTAAACTTTCGTGTAAGTAATTTAAACCCATTTTGTAATTGTTTTTAAATATCAAAGGTTGTAAGCAGTTGACGAAAACTAAACGAAATAAAATGAATTCATGCTATTCTGCTAGAATCCTTGTTTTTGATCTCTTCAACATTTCGAACAATTTGATCTTATACATACCTGGTAAATAAAAGGTCAACTAGATACATTAGGACTCAAGATAATGAGGAAAACTAGGTTATTTAATAAATCAATATGACCAAAGTGGTTTCCGGATGAGAACAAAGTGTTGTTGAATGCAAAAAGAGGGGAGCTGATAAATTTGACACTGATGACTGTCTGCTAAAAAAACTCAATATACTTTAAAATATTTGCTTGACGTGTGAAGAGAAGATGAGCAACAGAAGTTTATCCGAAATTTTATGTTGTGCATATCTCATTCGAAACATGATAAAAATAGTGTGTTACTAAGCGAACTATCCTTAACTTTAAATGGAATTGTGGAGGGTGCAATCAGAGATTGTTTAGTTGTCCTTCCGCATGACAGTAACTAAAAATGTGCACAGGTAAACAGAAATTTTTATACTAAACCAGTCTGTATTCTAGTTTTCGAAATCATCTACCCATGATTGAAAAATCAGACGCCGGATCTCATCTAGCCTATACAAGATCAATTGTTATTGAAACAAAAATGTGAAATCCATTCCGGCTAGCTGCTCGACTCCCAGAACAATGAAATACCACTTTGGTGGAGACAATACAGAATTCAGAAACCCCACAAATTAACAAGAAATACTCACGTACCCATATCAATCTTCAATCTGTTTTTGTAGGCTGGGAACTGAATGAAAGCATGTGTTCAGAAACAAACGACAGACTACCCCAATAATTGGATCTAAAATTCAAATTCATCGTCTGCGGGGAAAAACTGACACCTGCTGCATATGAGTTATTGAAGCGTTATCTACGCCTACTTATGACAAAGATGATTACATCAGTCGATATGTGTACAGTCGTTGAAGAAATATGCACCTTCAACATATACAGCAACATGACCAACTGTTCCTGGCACTTTTAAACTGAAAACGGATTGCTGTGCTGACATCTGATTGTCCATTGGTAACATACTAGCACGGCCGTTTGCACAGAAATTGCTAGTCCAAGGTGGTTGCTATCTTATAACAAACTTTTCAGTGCGGCTGTCGAAAACTATTTCCCTATCCATGAAATAGAGCTGAGTAAGCAGAGAATTTCCTGATGGATTCAGAGTACGCAGGACCAGCAGTTTGAGACGACTTAAAATATTAACCATAACATAATTTATGGGAAGACCATCTTGGGTGCAATCAAGTACGCTTGAGCCTCTCCATAGCAGTGTATCCTCCTATGGCTGATGAAATGCCAAGAAACAAAGCCTTTAATCATCACAATTATCTAGTGAACGTGAATTCGAATACAACCCCAATTCATCAAGAAGAGGATGATGTGCTGTTGATCAACTGTGGAGAGTTTAATGACGGAAATAATAACATGGACGAAGATGTGGACCCTAAGAGACTTTTTAACATGCTCGTTCACCAAGCGAAAATGCAACGGCAGTGACTTGCACAGTTTATCAGTGTAATGCAATCTTTCAATCACTGTAATTAGAAACCACGTCCTCAGTTTCCTGGTTTCAATAGTATGACATATAGTGTAATTACATAAAATTAATGGGACAAATTATTTTGGGAACGTCTTATATGTATTTCATTTTTTGACCGACAATTTAACTTCTACCCATTTAACCCTATTACGAGGTGAATATGGAAAACAATTCACCGTAAAGTATAGAGTCATTGAAAGATGTTATATCCATAGGACAAGACAGCCGTCTGGTGCTTCCAGGTCTTCAATGGTGGTCTCACATCAATCAGTTTATGACCTGAATCAAAAATTTTCTTTAATTCTCATTAATTTATGGAAGTGTAAACTGTTCAATCATTCATTAATATTAGACTCATTACACGTCTAGCATTAATTGAACGTACTATGTACATTGAGTTATCACGGTTATTTATTTGCATTTGTAAACACCTATTACAATGTTTACCCACCTAAATCCAATACTGAAATGATGCATTAGAATAATTCATCAACCTAGCTGGACGGAGAATAATCACTTTCATGTGGACTTTTATGTTTCATTATTTTTCAGGTTCAATAATTACTAGTGTAATTAGAAATATATGTTGATTGACAAGAAACTTACCATCGTTGCCACTTTTTTTTAGTTTCTTTAGGATGAAATGACTGGATTTTTTAATTTACAAAGAAATTATATGCACGTAATTTTTACTAATTTTTTCTTGTTAGAATAATTAATCAAATCAATTTAAAAAATTAAGTTCAGTTCTGATAAATTTAGTCTTTTTATTGAATTATCCAAACCAAACGCCAAATTTAAGTTACACATCAATCGTGGTTTGCACCAATGTTACATATGATTTCAGCAATTTAGTCCCAAACTTCCTTCCATCGAAATATAATGATGATGGTAATAATGATAATAGTAAAAATCCACTTTAACATTACTTGGTACCGGATATAAAGCGATTTGCCTGATGAATGTACAGTCACATTAATTCCTTTTCAATGAAATTCAAACCCAGCACTTATTGGTTAAAACTTCAGCCTGTTAATTACTGTTTAGCATTCCTATACTGTTCAATATCATAGGGACAGTTGAAGTATTAACAAAAGAAATCCATGTATCTTTCATGTTATCCTCTCTGAGCTACATAGTTTGATTGGGAAGTTTTATTATCGTTTTAGATAATATCAAAGTTCGTATGCCAATAATCACTAGACCATTCTGATATGATGGTCTGTAATTAAGCCTAACAGTCAGGTTTTAAATTATTGGACAGTGAGTGACCTAAAAACTGATTTCCTCCGATAGCTTACGACATTTCATGTTTTTGTGTTAATATTTTGTATGTTATTTTAGAGCGTAAAAAACTACTCTTCTAGCCAGTAGTCTTGTTTATGTTTTCGAATTGACAGCTTCCAACATTTAAGGGAGGAAATATCTAGGAATATTGGTGTAGACTTTAAAAATAACCTTGGAATCAGTAAATGAATTAGATGAAAAAAATAGTAGCAATGGATATTGTACTTCGCAAACGACCACAGGCGGTCAAATAAGGAAACTTATTGTGAACACATACAGAGAACTAGTTTGCGATATGTAAACATTAGTGTAGCATTACAATAAACATTCCTCTAATCGATTCGAATAAACGGTTCTTAAGTATCGATGTTTTGTGACTGTTGAAGTTATTTGAACGTACCGTCTTAAGATAAGATTTATAGTCCATTCATTAAGTCCACCTTATATATTTATGTTTGTCAGCCCGATAAACGGGATTACCTAACCACAACTTGTGGATGCTTACTCATAATGGCCAGAAATTTTGTGGATAGTGCTACCATTCACCAAAAGAATCTTCCAGCCATTGATGAAGACTTTTGGTATATATTGGGCTGTTGGACACCAATATGCTGTTCAATGGGTAGAAATTCATATGGTTACACTACTAAGGCTTCTGTCGATGGACTGCAATCAACCGAAAGTGTTCATCACCTTATCACTCACAGCTCACTGACTAGACAAAAGTTTCCTAGATAACTGCAACTTATGCAATAATTCTCTCGAACTATCTAGGCAGTTGCTTTACATATTGGAAAACTTCAACACCTAAACGGTAAGTGTACGGAATACAGTATTCTTTTCTTCAAGTGTTCCTTCTAGAAGCTGAAACATCTCACGATAACCTACATGTAATTATAAAAGTGAATAAAAAGAATATTGATTTTTACTTCGTCCTAACGATGCTGAACTAACAGTTTACCCTAGCCTTGTATCCGATGCATTCATTATCAACTCATCCTTCAAAGTTCCTTGTAAAATTCTAGTAGTTCGTGAGATTTACATCAAACCTTATAATTTACATTATTGATGCGTCAAAGATTTCCGATAATATACTAGCCAAGTCAATGCCAGGATGAACACCGGCTCCGTATGAAACTGACCTGAACTTATAAGCTGAAAAAAATACTACACTTTTCGTAGCACTGACAATGAAGATTTTCCGAATAAATATCTTGACAATTACCTGCAGTAAATCTCGTGCATCACTCAGTATACTGTCATTCATCCATCCAGAAAGACTAATAAAAAATAAAACAATGAAAATTCATGGTTAGTAAACACAAAATCTCATTAGTGAACGAGAACTCAGGTGGCGGAAAAAAATTTATTGTTTAATGCAAAATTACTGAATGCCTTCGTACATATGAAACCCATACATTAAATACATTATTTGCAAATCTTCCTTCATTTATCTTTTACATCTTTCACGGTTCTTTTAATCCTGTCGTTATTACAACTGCCCTTTGTTTCCCTTTCTGTTCTCTTCAATTCAATCTTCTTAATCTCGTGCTACCAGGCATTCCACTTCCAAATGGTGCTACATACTACTTATACCTGTCAGCATAAGTAGTATGCACCACAATAAGACCAGTAACAAAAGTTAATTCTCAATAGATTTCTTTTATATAATACAATACACTTTTATGCAACTCGTCGCCCTTCCATTCCCTGAGTACACTGTTAAAACCTTAATATATTTACAATTTTTATTTAATCAAATTAGTTTGATGAACCGTGAACTCCATAGAATAACTTTTTATGAACCTGTTATCAAGCATACAATTATATTATTTAGTAGTAAATCACAAGTTGAGTAGTTTAATTCATTCAACTGATTATTTATACATTTTTAAATGACACTATTTTACTTAAAAAGGAAAATTAGGACTTCATGTAGATATAATCTGAAGTGAGTTATACTAATTTCATGAATCCCAAGATTTGACTAAATAATCCATTAATACCGTTGGATACCAACCCATTAATCTAGAGTTCAGGTGTTTGAATGCGAGATTAAAGATCTTGAGTTCGATTCCCGAGCACGAAGTCGTGGATGAGTATGGCCAAAGTCTCATACTAGGATGAAACAGGCGTGCAGTGCTTTCAAGTTTTTAATAGTGATCTAACGTTGATCGCTTTATGATTTCAATGCACAAGAAATAAAAATTTTAAAACAAGCTGTCCAGTATGTTTCGAAGTCACTCAAAAATTGTCTAGAATACTATTATTTTAACATCTGAATTTAGGAGTTAATCTAAACCAGACCACCAATGGAAACCTGGAGACACTGGAGAGCCTTTTCGCCCTACTATGGGACTCCCCAGAAGTGCGCATCCACGACCTCATACACGGAAATCGGACCCAGGGACCTTCAATCCCGCGCGCGAACGCACAGCCTGTAAACCACTGAGCCGGCATCTAACGGCGTTAGTCCAACTTAGCTTCCATTGACCTATGAGTTCAAGTGTTAAAGTACTACAATCTCCACAAAACCCCATACTGATAATATCATTATTTTTCAAGCTATCGCTTTTTCACACTGAACTATAAACCCTATTAAATTTCCCACTTCTCACCAAATTGCTCGCAGTCGGCCTCAAGCAGTTGTTCTTTGGGCACCGCGGTCACGTTCTCAGGTCACTAAGACCACCTCTAACCCAATTTCTTTTTCACGTACCTCCGGAAGAACCCTTCCACAGTGTGGGCAACTACGAAATGACAACCGCCCTTATACCTCTAACAGTACTCAAGATCACTGTATTCGTGATCGATCTCCCTCTTCAATTCTTATTATTCCCCCTACCTCGACTTTTAACTCGAAACTTCCCCTTTTGAATTCCTTCTCAAGTGTCACCATGGCCAACGATTCTAGTGCGCAAAACACTGTCCCAGGTCTACTGAAACCTCGCTCCAAATTTATTTATTTATTTGAACACATAAATATTGATACAAGGGGTCACCAAATATATATGCGCCACACAAAACAACGAGAATCCGAAGAGAAAAAAGGAAGGTAAGGAGCGTAAAAAAAAGAACGCAAACGACAAGATTAGTATACGGTAGTGTAATAATAACTCCGCCTATAGCTCTTCTAGAGTTACTCCCGGTCCCAAGCTCGGGTAAAGGAGGAGGGTTGGGCACTGGGTTAGCGACCCCATCCCGTAGAAAACTAACTCGCCAAAAAACGCTAACCAGAAAAAACAATTCAGACTATTTGAACTCTGCCCTGGGAGTTAGGTCTTCGTTTAGAGGAACTATGACGCCTCATGGTGAAAGCCGAGTTCCTTCGGAAGCCACGAGGCTGATGCTCCTTCTAACAACCAGAGCAACAATTTTTATAGGTACATGGAACGTCCGAACAATGTGGGAGACCGGGAAGACCAGTCAAATAGCAACGGAAATGAGGAGATACAACTTGACAGTACTGGGAATCAGCGAAACCCATTGGACCCAAGCTGGACAACAAAGGCTAAATACGGGAGGGGTGCTGCTATACTCCGGTCACAAAGAGGAAAATGCTCCACACACTCAGGGAGTTGCTCTAATGCTGTCCAAAGTAGCACGAAATGCACTTGTAGGATGGGAATCTCACGGATCCAGAATCACCAAAGCATCATTCAAAACAAAGAAGGAGGGGATCTTAATGAATATTATCCAATGTTATACACCCACCAATGATAGCAACCACAACAATAAAGATTAATTCTACGAGCAGCTGCAATCAATCATAGAGAAGTGTCCAAGAAAAGACCTCACCATTCCGACGGGAGATACAAACGCCAAAGTCGGGATAGAAAACAGCGGATATGAATATATCATGGGACGACATGGACTGGGAGAGAGAAATGAAAATGGGGAAAGATTTGCAAATCTATGTGCATTCAACAAATTGGTCATAGGAGGCACAATATTTCCACACAAACGTATACACAAAGCTACATGGATTTCACCGGACCACACTACAGAGAACCAGATAGATCATATTTGCACCGAAAAAAATTCCGAAGGACAATGGAAGATGTGCGAACCCGGAGAGGGGCTGATATAGCTTCAGATCACCACCTAGTTGTAGCCAATTTAAAACTGAAGCTAAAGAAGAACTGAACAACTGGACAAACAGCACTACAAAGGTTCAATACAGCCTTCCTTCGAGATACTGATAAACTCAATAAAATCAAGATAACTCTCAACAACAGGTTCCAAGCCTTACAGGATCTACTGAAGGAAGAAGAAACCACCATGGAGGACAACCGGAAAGGTATCAAAGAAGCATTAACTTCAACGTGTCGAGGTTCTAGGCCTAAAGAAGCATCATCATAAGGAATGGATCTCTATAGAAACACTGGACAGGATCAAAGAAAAGAAAAACAAGAAGACAGCAATTAACAACAGCCAAACACGAGCAGAGAAAGTCCAAGCACAAGCTGAGTACGTAGAAGCAAACAAGCAAGTGAAGAGCATTAGAGCCGACAAGCAGAAATACGTGGAAGAACTAACAATGACAACAGAAAAAGCTGCAAGAGAAGGAAATATGAAACAGCTTTACGATACAACGAAGAAACTAGCGGGGAAATACAGTAAACCAGAGAGACCGTTCAAAGACAAAGAAGACAGGCCAATCACTGAAATTCAACAACAGCGGGACAGATGGGTAGAGTACTTGAATACACCGGACATCGAAGCAGCACACACAGATCTTCCTATAGATGTTAATCCACCAACGACGGAAGAAATCAGAATGGCCATCAGACAAACCAAGAGCGGGAAAGCAGTAGGACCCGACAATATATCAGCTGAAGCACTGAAATTAGACATCGAAGTAACTACAAACACAATTCACCTTCTATTCAAAAAGATTTGGGAGGAGGAACAAGTGCCGATGAACTGGAAAGGAAGACACCTCATCAAGATTCCACAGAAAGGAGATATGAGCAAATGTGAAAACTACAGAAGCATTACACTACTGTCAATACCAGGGAAAGTCTTTAACAGAGTGTTGCTGAACCGGATGAAAGACGCAGTAGACGCCCAACTTCGAGATCAACAAGCTGGATTCCGTAAGGATCGGTCGTGCACAGACCAAATTGCGACAGTACGGATCATCGTCGAACAATCAGTTGAGTGGAACTCGTCACCGTACATCAACTTCATTGATTATGAAAAGGCATTTGACGGTGTGGATAGGAGAACGTTATGGAAACTTCTTCGACACTATGGAATTCCTGAGAAGATTGTCAACATTATCCGGAACTCATATGACAGACTACAGTGCAAGGTCGTGCATGGAGGACAGCTGACAGATGCATTACAAGTAAGGACCGGAATCAGACAAGGCTGTCTACTCTCTCGCTTCCTCTTTCTTCTGGTGGTTGACTGGATTATGAAGACCACGATATCTGAGGGAAAACATGGCATACAATGGACAGCTCAGAATCAATTAGACGATTTGGACTTCGCAGGTGACCTAGCCTCCTATCGCATGCACACGAACAGATGCAGACAAAGACAGCCAGTGTAGCAGCAGTCTGAATCAGTAGGCCTCAGCATACACAAAAGGGAAAACCAAGGTCCTCAAATTCAAAACAGAGAATAGCAATCCAATCACTCTTGATGGCGAAACTCTGGAAGATGTAGAATCCTTCACATACCTGGGAAGCATCATCGATGAACAAGGAGGTTCAGATGCAGACATAAAGGCGAGAATTGACAAAGCAAGGGCCACATTCCTACAATTGAAGAACACATGGAACTCAAAACAACTTTCAACCAATATCAAAGTGATAATCTTCAATACTAACGTCAAGACAGTTCTACTGTACGCGGCTGAAACATGGAAAACAACAACCACCATCAAGAAGGTACAAGTATTTATAAATAGCTGTCTACACAAAATACTCAACATTCATTGGCCGGATACCATCAGCAACAGCCTTCTCTGGAAGAGAACAAACCAGCTTCCAGCTGAAGAAATTAGGAAGACTATGGAAATGGATAGGACATACATTACGCAAATCATCAAACTACTTCATGAGGCAAGCCCTAACTTGGAATCCTGAAGTGAAGCGGAAAAGAGGAAGGCCAAAGAACACATTACGTCTGGGAATAGAAGCAGATGTATAACAACTGGAAAGCGATGGAAAGGATTGCTTGGGACAGAGTTGGATGGAAAATGCTGGTGAGCGGCCTATGCTCCTTCACAAGGAGTAACAGGCGTAAGTAAGTGCAATAATAATAATAATTGGGGAAAGCGAGAGGCACAATCAGAAGAAATCTTTTAGTTAAGGAAGATACAACCACTTTCTATGAAGAAAGTAAAAGAAGGTTACAGCACGATCGCCACTGGCTTCTATTCTGAGCCATATCTGATAACGTCTCTAGCCACTGTGTTGTACCATCTCTCGGACCCCAACCAAGGAGTCGTGAAGGACCGACAAAAGCCAGTCCTTTGCAGCTTTCTTTCATACCACGACACCATGTCATGCACTGACCACCTCTCCGCTTCTTCCAACCAGTCCCAGAGTCGGCAAATAATGCACGACGTGGAATTCTCTGGGACGACATTCGGAGAACATGTCCAAGCCACCGAAGTCGGTGTTTCAAGATGGTGACACCAAGCATAGAGCAAAACTGCTCTCACAGACGCGTTGCAGATCCGACCTTTTACAGCCAAACTGACATCACGAAGGCGCCAAAGATAGCCCAGATTGGCAGAAGCCGCTTTGGCTTTCACTATTCGTGCATTGATCTCATCACTCACACCCCCACCAGCACTTATGCAGCTACCTAGATACACGAACTTCTCGACTACTTCTATCTGCTCACCATTCAGGGTGAGTACAGGATCAGAGTCCTTCCAGTCTTGTAAAAGTACTTTGCACTTCGAAGGTGCGAAGCACATATCATACCTACGGACACTGATTGCCAACTGATTAAATGCAGATTGCATGGCTTGGGCATTATCGCACAGTAAGACTATATCATCCGCATACTCAAGGTCGAGAAGTCTTTCTCCAGGCAACAGATCCACACCGCCATTACTTACATCCATCAGAGCTGTTTCCAGAATGTCATCGATGGCAAGGTTGAAGATGAATGGTGAGATTGGGCAACCCTGTCTAACCCCACTGCTCGAATGGAACAATGGAGAGAGGTGGTTGTATGCCCTCACTCTGCCTGAGGTGTTTGTATATAGGGCCTATAAAATGTTAGTAAACTTCTCAGGTACACCCTTCTTCAATAGACAATCACAGAGAACAGTCCTATCCAACGAATCGAAGGCAGCCCTGATGTCAAGAAACACTACGATTGTTGGCCTTTGATAAGTATGGCGGTGTTCCAACAGTTGGCGGAGGGTGAAGATATGATCAATACATCCTCGACCAGGACGAAACCCAGCCTGCTCCTCGCGAGTCAATCTTTCTCGGGTTTTGAACAACCTACGAAGTATGACGGAAGCCAATAGCTTGGACGCAATCAGAAGTAGACTTACCCCCCGATAGTTGTTACAGGAACGATGTGAACCCTTTTTAAAGATAGGGACAACTGTCGACTCAGTCCATGACGTTGGTACACTTTCTAGTTCTCAAACCTTTGTAAACAACACAGTCAGTTCCTAAGCCAGAAAGTCACCACCATCTTTAAAAAGTCGGAGGTAAGTCATCTGGGCCCGTTGATTTGTAGTGTTTCAGGAGTTGGAGTTCCTGGCGGACTTCCGCCTCATTTGGCGAATCAGTCGTCACCGGTCATGGAGGGTCTGTGCACAGTTGCAGTAGACGATCCCCGTTATCTGTCCTGCGACCAGCAAGTCCCCATCGGCCACCTAAACGACTCTATTCTGTGCCTAGACGCCCGACCTGAGCATTCAAGTCTCCGGCTAGTACTACAATATCTGTCGAATGCACTTTCTGGAGAAGAACAGTTAACTGGTGGTAGAATTCATCCTTGATTGCATCCGGGCTGCAATCTGTCTGGGCATAGGCGGAGATGACGAAAAGACATAGTTTCTCACGCCGATTTCTCCTCACTTTGATGGAACTTTCTAATCTAACAGCACATAACCGACTGTTAATGGGGATCTAATCGACTAGTGCTGCCTCAGCTCTGGCGCTTAGTGCGACACCAACGCCAGCAAGACCAGATGAAGATGCCACAGGGTCCCCGGATAAGCGCACGTGAAACAAGTCTTTTGAAGCGACAGATGGAGAGCGAATTTGTAGTACTTCACCAGAGTCTTGAATACGGGTCACGGAAAGACAACAAACGTCGATATTAAAACTTTCGAAAGACATAGCTAGCCCTATCTGTTGTCCGACCTGCATAAGTGTGCGAACGTTGAAGGCAGCCAGTTTGAATGGTGCACGTGGTTTCAGAAAAACTGCTTCAGTATTCGTATTCGGTGGTAGCATAAAATTTTCAACCAGGCAGTAGCTCGAGAACGTTTAGATAGAACCGAGTTACCACCATAGGCAAACTGCTGTATAAGTCGAAAAATAAGGATACACAAAGTGCGAATAAAAGACGTAAATAATAATATTAATAATGTGAATCGTTTGATTGTTAATCGAAGCAAGACAACTATTTTCCATAAATACCGACATTTCATCATATTTGTGTGTGGGCTGTGATACTGCCCAAGTGCCCAGACCGAAACAAGGGGTTTTCTTAGGGGGCCACACCCCGAGCCTTTGACCTAATGGTCTAACCCACAAGGCAGTGGAGCATCGTGAGGAGATGCAGTCCCATGGTAGCCGGTGACCAACAATTGGCTCATACGCCATTTGTTCCTTCAGGATACTGGAGCCCATGTGCACCATTGATTTGGGATCCGGTTAAAGCGCCGGACATTCACTTTTCGTCCTCTCATTTTCGTAAACAACACCCCCGCCACGAGAAGGCAGTGAGTAGGACTTCCCTGGCAGAGGCTGTATACGCGTGGCCGTGTGAGAGTATTTCGAGAGGGAGGGCGAACCCACCCCGCTCTCGGCCATACCAGGGCATTTGGGGGCAGGATATTGGGGAATGATGGTAAGTCAGTTGATGAGATTGTGAGTCTTCATCGACTGAGATGGTTAGGCCACGTGTTGCGTGTGTCTGAACACCGATTACCACGACGCGCAATGCTGACGAGTGTTGGAAACGGTTAGAAGAAAGTTGGGGGCAGCCAAACCAAAACGTGGCATGGGAGCTTGAAGTCACTAACTTCTAGTCTGAGCCATGTTGATAGATGCAAACTACTTGGTTGGGGTTCACGTGACTATCGCAGCCAATAGTTAGAGACTATAGGTGACGTGTCTCAGGATCGATCACATTGGCATCGGTGTATACACTCTTTGTTCTCCCTTAAATCATGAGATTAAAATTGCTTTATATCTTTCTTTCTACGAAAGAATTCTTCCTTCATGTACTATATCCTTGTACACAATCTTTCTTTCATACATTACTACCATTGAAGTAACTACTTCTATGAATTCGGTGTTAATCTTGTTGTGCTAATGAGGTGTGACAGCTTGGACTGATGCATATATGTGCCTGGTCCTACGTTGTAACTGACTGGTTGACTGTCAACTATATCTAACCATGCTACTTCAGTGTTATGAAGTGACTATAGAACTTCGCAGTTCGAATTCTAATTTGACTTTCTAATTGCATGTTTATTATGCTAAGTTTATCGTGCTTTATTCAGATATGGGCTTTTTGTATGACTGTTTGAATGTAACAAAAGAAAGCAAATTAGAAAATCTAATAAAATCATGCTTGCACTCCCCGTCACTTGCCTGCCTCAAAGTTTTAGCGACGACCAGTTTTTATACACAGAGTGGATGAAGTGAGATTGAAAGTATTCGATGATCAAAGTTGTCAAAATACTTCTTGTATACTATGAAACCATACATTAATTGGCGTAGTTAAGGTAAATAGTTTGACATAAATAAAATAATTTAGTCGACAAGAACTGGAAGAACAACAACATCCCAAAGATAATTGAGATCGAAACTTAGAGATACTACGTGAAAATTGAAAGCCAATCTAAGAAAAGTAACTCTAAGTTTTCTTAAACTTTCTCTAATTTCAAAATCTCTTACTGTTCTGACTAAAGTTACAACCAGATACTATTTATGTAACAACAACGACGCAATAATGCTTGCCAGTAAAAGTATATCCAATTAAAACAATGCACAAAATTATATGAGATCCCGTATAACGACTTACTTTAATGAAGGGATGTCCTGTGATGGCTGTGTCCATACAGAGAGTTTAGTGACACATCCTTTAGCCCGAGTATCAAATTCTTCCGGATGGTGAATCAGTGCGTTAGCTGCTTCTGGATTAGCATACTTCACATCTCTCATGTTTTTGATACAAGCAGTTTGTTCTGCAAGTGATGAAACAATAATACTTGTTGGACTAGTCAACAACCGTTTAAAATGATGAAGAATATGCCAAATATGGTGCTTGTCTGGATTCCATATCGGGAATTCCGTGTGCACGCTCACCTCTCCGGTAATCCAGTCTACATGAGGATGATAAAATTCTTTACATAAATAGAGCTTCTAAAATGAAAAGAACGAGATACATAAGAACAAATGTACACTCCCAATCTATAAAAGCATTACAAAAGCTTTTGACCAAGGTATATGTGAAGAACTAACATCTGTACATCACTAGGTGTCTTAGTTTAAGAAAAAAATCTTTTTATAGCAGTAAAAAAGCATATTTAGATACTCTAAAGATAGTCCTACATTGGCGACAAAAACAACTTGCAGTCCGATATTGCTTTCTGATACAAATGATTTTAAAACATAACCACCAATTTATTAACTTTTCATACAATTATGAACTCCTTTACCAAGTGACAGCTTATAGTTCCGGCCTTAAATCATTGTTTTCCAAAAGCTAGGGATACTATAAAATTGACCGTAACTGACGAAAGGAACCAACTCATTTGACCCAGTTAATGGCCTGAACCAAAGATAGAACTAAGTGGAATTATGGAGCTGATTAATTTACCCAACCCTACACGAAAGCCACACAATTCAGTGCCCGCGTGGCCTGATTCCCCTAACCTAGTTACGAAGCTATCCTCGTAGGGAACAAATAAGGTCTTATTAATCAGATTTATATTTAGTTGGTGTCAGCACGACTAATGTCTAATGTTCAGTGCAAACTAAAATCTGATATATCAACTGGCTTATATTCAATCATTAAACGCTAGTGAACAAATCAAAAGAATACTATACGTTTTTAAATGTAAATTCTACTTTATTTACTGTAAATTGTTGTTTCTGTCTATTTAGGATATCTTGTAACCAGTTCAGTCTTGTCTTGATTTATGTCAACACAAGTGAGATACGATCAGGACAGTAGTGAAAAAAGACATAAAAGTTGGGTTTAAAAGGAAATAACATAAACGGATTATGATCAGGTTGACGGATATCCCAGTTCTCAGATTAGATTATTTGATAATACATTCTGACCATTGTAAAGGGAAACAATAGAATGTTTGATGACTAGTCTTCCGTAGTGAGAACACATTCAGAACTAACGGATAGGCTGACTTGGGCTCAGTGCTAATACGCTGACCCTATAGCATAAAACATCTGCATAGACCAAAGCAAGTGAAGTAGGGTTGAGTATTTTAACCACTTAACAATCATTGAATATTTGACCTTAGATGAAAACCTTAGTGAAAAGATGTTGGGGAGTTACAATCTAAAATTAAAACTTACGAGAATCAAATAAATATAAATTAGGCTGAGACTCTATTGCAGTTTGTTATTCAGTATGACCACTATATATAAAATCTCAATATATTTTAAGATATTTTGTTTCAATGACAATCAGTCATTTCAAACATGCTAGTTATTTTTTATTGATGTATCACCGACAAACCGTGTATTTTGATTAATTACACTGGGTCAAGATCAGAAACTTTTATCTGCAAAACTGGTGCTCATAGTCGAGTTAGCGAGGTGGCGAAAAAATAGAATAGTTTCGTCCACGATATTGAGGTTGGAGTTGCGAATTATTGGTACAGTTAACGAACGTATCATGATGGGCAGAGTATGAAGGACACATCAAATACCGATTTGCCCCAGCAACATCAATCAGACTATTTTGCACTACCTAACCAGCGACAACTGATCACAGAAACACGGCAGAGGACCGCAAAAACTCCAACCTTTAAAGCACCACAAGCCGCCAGGTTGTTTTTAAAGGATGGCAGCATACCTCTTTCAAGGTTATTTGGAAGGGCTCGGGGAGTAGTGTTGCAACACCCAAAAATAAAGTGACCGTTGTCCCCATCTTTAAAAAGGGTTTATATAATCTATCCAATAACTATAGGGGGATAAGTATACTTCCGACCGCATTCAAACTCATCAGTACGTTGCAGACCCTACCTCTAACAGCCAGACTAAGACCAAGACGGCGCTAAAGATGGCCCAGATTTACATAAGTCTCTCTCCCTCAGCCTTTGATGTAAGCAGATTGATACCATCAGTTACGCCACCACCAGCATCCATGCGACTACCTAAATGTACAAGCTTTTTGGATAATTCTGACGACAACACGATAATTAAACGTAGGAACAAGCTCCTGTGGGCCTCCCAGAAGTGCCTAACGTTAAAAAGGTCCAAGGTACATGCAGCACCTTTCGAAATTGGTTTCCAACTGAATAAACACGAATTGCATGGCATGAGTAACATCACATAGTAAGACAAAATTATTCACATACTCAAGATTGAAAATACTGTCTCCAGGTAAAAAAAAATCCAAAGCGCCATCACCTACTTCAAAACAAAAAATAACCTGCTTTTAGGTAACTAAAACCCTATGTATGACAAACAAAAAGTGAATGACTAGTAGCCGACCGCCAACTGCAACGGAGTTAAACACTTAGTCAAATGCAAACTCACACCTTCAAAACAATAACTCGGATCAACGAGGAACTAATAAAGTCAAAATTTTATGTTGAAGACCATGTCAGTATTTTAACCAATGAGCTAAACATGAATCTTTCACAGACCGTAAATTTACGCGATATCTGACTAAACATTGAGCAGAGTATTTATTAGTTCTCAATTATGAGGATTAAAGATTGGAATATACCTCGAGCAAGTACATAAACTTCCAATTTTTAGGAAAATTGGACCCATTTTGAGGAAGCCGCTATAGGAAATTTTGGGGGAATGGCACCAAAACCCCAAAAAGCTTGGGCAGGCTGAAATTGATTTATACGGTAGACCGTATAGGAAAACTTTGCGATGACGTTAAGATAACAGAAACATGGGATTTGTTTATTAGAAGTGAGTAGACGGTTAATAAACTGGGCAGACAAACATATATTCATATTTCTAAATACCGACCCTGAAACATTTACTCACCGGCAGTTTTGTTGATGGAAAATCATTTGGCAGAGATAAGACGAAATTGAAAACTCCTCCAAAATAGTAACCACTTCGAACAGAAATAATCCCGAGCCATTCTAAAATTCAGTTATGCAATTACAGCACAAACTAAGTGGATCATTTTCACATGGGCTAACAATAACTCCAGAGATGTTTTTCAGTTTTAGGAGGGTTCTTCATAGGAAAACAGGTTAGGAAAATAGATAATACACTAACAGCTCAGCTAAAATGTGATAACCTTGGTTGAGCATATTTTGTAGCGTTATTTTCAAGCTATGTTACAATCCCTGGTAAAGTCCAATTTAAGTTTTAAAATGGGTACACTTTCCACCTTTATTACTATTTCACGCAACTACTTTTGGCCTGAGTTAGGAAAAATTTGTTGAAAGAGCTCGTCAACGCAAATAATATGATTTGTTTGTGTTGTGCGTTCTTATCGTTGCTCAATACCTTATATCTTTGTCACAAGCTTTCATAAACCGATTTTTATGTTTGCGCTCGCATCTTGTTGTTTTGGCATTGTTGAGGGCAGCCAGTAATGTTCAATTTACTGCAGACTAGCCAATGGAATGCACTAATTCTAATCAGTGTAATAGCTTGTAGTCAAGCGAGGTTGCCTCAGGTTAATAAGGTTATCTTATCACCGAGCAGGAAGTTGCTATATTGTAACGTGCTAAAAACAGATTGATAATACGAGGGTTTGGAGAAGGAAATTGTTTCGAAAGTCAATAAATAATTCACTTAACTGGTAATGTATAGGAAGACTAATTAAATATATATTAGGAGGATAAACGTAGATGCCAATTTGAGAGATAAGAAGTGGGTGTTGACAAAATACTTATTCTAATTACCTTCATCTAAATCGGTTATTAACCGATCATTATCACGTCACATCATTCGAAGCGCGTGAAAGTGCACAACCCAACATATTAGTTTGTGCTTCAAATCAAACTATCAGAGTATTTACATCTCAGTTTTGCTTTCAGGCTTTCAAGTGAGATTTCAGTGAACAGCTGTATGTCAAACCTTTTGAAAAACTGCAATCTCACAGTTTACATTTGCTTCATAAGGGTAATCGAAAATGATTGTCTGAAGAAACGAACAAATAAGTTTATTAGTAATCCAAACATAATGGGCGGACCGAAATATAAGAATATTATTATTATTATTAATAAAAGGGGAAAGTGAGATGAAAATAAGAGAGATAGAAAGTAGGTGCTGATAAGTGGTAATGACAACTGGCAATTCGGGAGACACGCGTCAGACACAGCTAACTAGGGAGGGAGTTGTAATCCACGGGCGGGCGCGTGTTTGCTGAAACTCCTCCTGAATCAATCCACTGAAGAGGCTGTGGCCAATTCGTCCGAAAGAACATTACAAATGGTAGCAACTGTTAACGAGCCAAGTGTGAGTGTACCTGGGATTTTGCTCTTTGAGGCGTAAATTTTCGCTGGCTGCCACGTGGAGCGTGACGGTGAAGTCCTGATAATATGCTCCTGTTCGAGTGACTCAGCATACTTAAAGTGTTATATTCTATTATCAAGTAATCTCTTACTCTCTTGTAGCTCAGCCTGTCCTCGTGAGATTTTGTTTTACCCTTATAACCCCCTTGCTTCCCCGTCTCTGTAGATGGTCTAAGAGACTCATGATTTTTCTAACTTGAAGCAGTGCATTATGGACTTTATGGACTTCGAGGTGGGGCCGTACGTATGTTTTAATAGTGAAGCAGAATGTTCATGACATCACATTTTAAAAAGTTAGGTTTTAACTCACTGTCTACTGCCCATTTTTCTATTTCTGCAAATCGTCTTTGGAGCTTAGGTTAATCTTGGACCAATTATTGGGCGCACAAAACCTGTCTTTCTTGGACCCCTGTCGGAGCTTTTATCCGTATGTTCCCTCATTTGTTCATTAAACAGTTCTCCCATTACCTTCGATTGTATTGGGTTTAATGAAACTTGTCTGTAAAGGGCTGTATCTTTCCTACTCGTCTTTTTGGAGATTTGGTAGAGTGGCCTGTTTCTCTTTTCTCGGCACTTGACTTCAATGTTATCGGTTTCACACCAGACATGTCTGTGTCACGGAGACTACTTCCTACTGGTGAAGGGATATGAACATCCTCAATTAGAAGCTGACCATTTGTTAGTAAGTACTTTTCATTTGAAGGTTCTTTGTCCCTGTCTCTTTTGGTGGTACCACACACATGTTCAGCCACTCCTTAAGTCCCGACGGCTGCTTATGGGACCACTCTGTAGGAATAACACCCTGCTTGTCGAGATGCAGGGATATAGTGTTGAGGACCCCAGCTGGTAATTTATGGCCTAACCACAGACATGTCTGTATAATCTCATCATTTCGAGTGTTAGGACTGTGGTTTAGGCTACTTATGCTGACGAATATATGTGGTAAGTTGTACCGATCGGGAGATGAATCCCTTGTAGCAGAATAATAAATCGAAGAAAACAGAAAGAAAATCGCAGAGGGGTGAAAACAAAGACGAAATTAGAAGGACAATGGATAGGGTAAAGGTCAGCGAAAAGATGTATTTGGTGTATGATTTTTATATTTTACTAAGTCACTGTGTACTTTTGCACTGAACAATAGATTGGTTATCCCCACCCGGGTTTCGTTCACTTCAGAACTTGTGGTTGCCGGCATAATCCTCCGGTCAAATACTTTGTGCCGATTTTAATCAGGCAACACTATTATGATTCGCAAAACTCAGCTAATACGGTACTTTGTAGTGTTACCGTCTTTTAGTGACCATTAATTTATATCAATACGAACGTCTAGGCAGTTCTACTGTACGCGGCTGAAACATGGAGAACAACAACCACCATCAAGAAGGTACAAGTATTTATAAATAGCTGTCTACACAAAATACTCAACATTCATTGGCCGGATACCATCAGCAACAGCCTTCTCTGGAAGAGAACAAACCAGCTTCCAGCTGAAGAAATTAGGAAGACTATGGAAATGGATAGGACATACATTACGCAAATCATCAAACTACTTCATGAGGCAAGCCCTAACTTGGAATCCTGAAGTGAAGCGGAAAAGAGGAAGGCCAAAGAACACATTACGTCTGGGAATAGAAGCAGATGTATAACAACTGGAAAGCGATGGAAAGGATTGCTTGGGACAGAGTTGGATGGAAAATGCTGGTGAGCGGCCTATGCTCCTTCACGAGGAGTAACAGGCGTAAGTAAGTAATGTATATCACCATTCCGCCTTCTTTTTTATGTACTCCATAGTGTCTGAAAAGTGGCATTCCTTGCAAGCTCACTTCTTTATCCGTGACGTCGGGAGGCAGCCGTGTTTCAGTTAGGACTATGACCTTTAGATCCACCTGAAAGCACATATTTATAGTTCCTTCTAGTTTACCGCTAAACTCCCTTACGTTGTAGCAGAAGCACACGATGGTTTGTTCCACCACCTGGTGCGCCTCTACAACAACATCCACCTTATGGATGTCAAACAGATTGTTGTGAGAAGTGTGTTGGCAAACCATTAGTTCCCTTTTTTGGTAATGATCATCATAAGAAACGGATTATTACCATACCTAGCAAGTGATAAAAGTTTTCTCTTTACTACCTTAGGCTTGTGAGGGGCTAGCTGGATTGCTTCTGAGAATACAGGTAGCCTTTTAGCCATGATTTATAACATTGGTGTTTGGATGCGACGGTCTTACTGATTATTTTTGACCTCGTGATATTTTCCGAATACAGTTTGAAAATATGGCACAACTGCATGTTTGACTCTGCATGGATGTAAGCTTCAGTCACTCAATCTTCAGGGGAACTTTGGAAACAACTTTTTCTTTATGTCACTGTTTTGCGACTTCGATTTCCTGATTCTCCTCTTTGAAGGAAGTAGATTTCAGCCAAATTCAAAGTGCAGTTCAGTACACCAGGTGACGACAATGTGAGCAACACTTTAAGCTGGATTTCAATTTCATTAAGCGTTAAAGGTTGCCTAATTGTTAGTCTTGGATATCTTCATGTGAAGAAATTTTCTCCTTGTTTCAATATGTCTCTGCACGACCAATCCATCAATTGAGTATGCCGCGTTTTTAAAGTTAAGAACAGCTAACTAGGACGCTTTTGCAGAATGGTATTCTGGCGGAGAAAACAAAGTTCTGTTGGGAAGAATAGTAAAAATTTCTTATGGATATCACACTCCAGTCCGTTGATAGGTACAAACTCTAGTTGCCGACCACTAACAAACCCATTGGATCGTCCGCCTAACAGAAAAAACGCTCATGAGTAATACGCACAGCTTCCAAAGGATAGTGTCCCTCGAAATCTACGACTTACTAGACTAGCTCTGAGGCCTTATGCGATAAATACTCAGAAAATCACACGTGACAGAACAACTTATCAATCTCGTCTAGTAGGACATACGAAAAGCAACTATAAGCCATTAAGTGGTTTACTGAAGATAACGTTTTTAACCTTATCAAGTGTTGTATTAAGGTGTCTTGACAGAACACAATACCAATAATGGGTTTTCTAGGCTACTAGCTAGAAAGTTTCGACCTATTTAGCGCCACACCATAATATCCTTCCTCCGAAACATTGCCACTTCATCCATTTTCATTGACACGTTTAAGTCCTTCAAAACCGAAGAAACGTTGTCTTGCTTGAACTCAAGCAAATCTGGCTGTTTGCGTAGTGTCCAACCCATATTCCTGGTGAAACACGCGTGCCCACTGTGCCTTTCGCTCACTTCTATCTTTATATGCCACTTACTCAAGGAAAATTTGCTCTCTGGCTACAAAAATAATCCATATGTACCCCTACACAAAGTGGGGTGACAAGGTGTAAAGTTCATACTAATATACGATATCTTTGCCATTAACGGCAGCGAACTCCATTTCGTCCTGAATAAATCTCTCTTGAAGCGTCTTATCAAAAACTTATTGTCGTTTGAAAATAAGTAGCAACTATTATGATAACCTTGTGCTTTGCAATCTATAACATAACTGACTCTCAGGTGGATCATATGACACGAAACTACTGACTGATTGGAATAACTAGACTTTCGCAGTGAGACTTAATCTTCCTATCATTATCGGTCCCCATGATTTATCCCTAAGTACCAGTAAATGAAAAATGCTAGTGATGGGCATTTGTAACACTGCCCACCTCGCACTTTTGAGTGAGTCAGATGCTGTACTTTCTGCCACTGTAAGTAACCTGGGCTCAACTCTTTGTGATTCACCCTGTACCACTTTCGACTGATATTCTGCAGTCATCGAAGCTTATTGGCTGTTTTCCT